TTCAAACTCATATTGTGGTCCCAATCGGTATATATATTTTTTGAATGAAGGGGTGATGAATTTCTTCTTGCAGAACATTTATGTAATTAGTGGGATGTCACACCGGTACGGTAAATTAGCAACAGTTTTAGCACTAATATTTTATGCGATTGATAGGTCGTTGAGTATTCCCGTTTTATTTAATTTTGTTTGTGACCGATTTCCGTATAGTTTGTTAAGGTCACTGTTTGACCACACACCAACTTTGCAAACTCTGTAACTAGTTTTATGTTTTTAAACCAGGAGATGAATTAGGAGCTTCGTCCTTTTGAATGGGAGATTTTCTATCCGTGTATAGCATTTGCTAAGTACAGAAATTTGTAGATAACTTTTAAGTTCAGTGGTGCCTTTCGTATCTTTCAGGATAACGGTGACTTGATTTTTTTGCATTTCGTTTTACACTACATGTCTTTATCGTATGGTCGTTGAACCGTTAATGTTTCTGTGCTATACGTGATCAGCCGAACTATTTTAATTTCTGGCCTCTTACAGCGGTGCATGCGCTTAGTTTAATCAGCTCAGAACCTGCTGGAAAATAAACGTCTGATTTCGTGGCCATATATGGCGGCGCCATGTAACAATGTAAATATGATGTAAAAATCTGAAATTCAACTGAACATTACTACTAAAACATTATTACTAAGGTTATGAAATTGAAATAAGATATTTAATAAGACGTAATAGGCACTTCAGTTTCATTGGAAATTTGTTTGTATAAATTTCCTTTGCTCGAATTTGTGTACCAGTTTTGATATTATTGACAATTTTTTCGTCGTATCCTTTTCATTCATCTATTTCGTTCGACAGTGTTTGGCTTTTAGTTATTGGAAGAGGCGGAGAAAGTATAACGGCTATACAGAACGACTCCGGGTGCCGGATTCAGATGTCGCAGTGTAGCAGCAACTTATGGGTAGTTTCTTTTACTGTTCTTTGTTTTAGCACCATATCAAGATCATACTGGTAAAGTAATGAGAAACTGTACCTTAACTGGAGGAGCAGCTGCAATCGAGTAAGTGTTTTGACATGTTAATTATATTTTTAGTGTTTCCCATGGGATTGCTTTGAGTGTACATTTTAATACATGGTCGACGTTTCTTGCTATATTTAGTTCGCTGTCGGGGTACAATAAAAGATAAATCGAGCAAGTTACATCTTAGAGGTGAAATTTACGAGCACATGGTGCCTATGTCGCTTATGGGTAATAGATTACTATTAATAACTGAAATCCTGGTGTTTTTGAAGTTCATGTTATGTTCAGTATTTCTGTTCAACGTTTGTTGGTTTAAATGAACGTGGCTTTATTAATCTTTCATCATTTAAATTATTTTCACTGGGAATTCTACTTGCCCGGTGTCATTTACTCTCATTTTTCAATCTTGCTGTGTATTATCATTGCAAAGTTGCTTTTGCATTCGATCTTGATGACAACAAAATTTTTCGTTTACCTCTTACCTTGCTGCACATCGCTTTTCTGATTTGCCACCGCTGTTCGATCTTGTAAGGTTGCGCATGTCTTAATTCTTTCTTGCCTGGCGTTCTCATTTTGTCTCCTGTCTGCCTTATTCACAGCTAATTCAATAATCTATTCATGGTTCTTTTCCTGTAATTATTTGTTCTTGTTAGCTAACTGACTGTGGCAGGTGAGTTTAGCCTTACGTACCATTTTCAGGCTTAGAGGTTAGGCGATATTTCGTAAAGTCTTGTTTCAGTTGCATGCGTAAGACGAACATTAAGTTGTGTTACCGAAAGATCATGGACAAGTCGAAGACGAAAAGAATAATTTCGAAAATTCATTTTATTTTGTGCCTTCTTGAAGATGAGTGGTAAACACACTCTAGAGCGTATGTATATTCACGAATCTTTGCCACTCGTCTTGAAAAAGCTGTGAAAGCGAGGTAGAACATAATAGATATTGTTCTGTTTTCAAGTTTATCTTTATTAGTGCATATTGGATTTTGTCCTTTTCTAAATTTCTTTTCGTCAAGAGTATGTAGTGCTGGACAAAGGTTGGTATGTAGTGCTGGACAAATGGCGTTGAAAATGCCCTCAATAAATTTTAAAAATAGGCCTGTCTCACCGCGGAAATTTATAATGTGGTTAGAGTCACTGTGGGTAGGTTAGAGTTAATGTTAAGTAAGTGATAGAATAGATTTTCAGTGGTTGTTTTCCGCTAGTTTTTAATCATGTATAGGACGTTAGATCGAATTGTCGGATAACTTCTGTTTGGCAGGCTTGTATGACGGATGCTACAGATTGACTGGGACGTTTTTCTCCAAGCAGCTTCGAAAGAGTGTTGGGTGTAGCTTCTTGCTCTATTAAGATCCGAAGGTCACTTTCACAGACGAAAGTGTAAAGTTTTCAATAATCATGCAAACGGAACAAAGTAGAATTGGCACTGCATAGCTCAGTTTAATGAGGAGATAATCTCATGCACTTTAGGTACTTATTTAATGACTGCTGCGACCTAACGCGATATTTTGCACTGATCGTTCATTAATATTTATTTATGATTTTTTACGCCATGCTTATATCCGCCTAGTATTTTTTTAATGTTAAACAAATGGACCGTCGCCGTCAGGCTAGTTTTATTCTGATAATGATTCTCAGTGACAGACGATCACTGTCTCAATTGGATGGAATGGTATGGAGATCGTTACATTGCTGTTTTTCTTTTTTTAGAGGTGAAATATTTTTAACTTTACTCTGTTGAGTTGCAAATTGTGCTGATTAAATAATTAGCTATAAAGATGTGTCAAGCGCATTGCGGCCATAAAATGGTTGCTGCATTGCTTAAGTCTTACGTACCTTGCTGTGGCCACGCTTAATTAGCATGCAGTCCAAATTATTCGCAGGTTTTCTACTTGCTACCTGTTTTCGTTACTTGTTGCCAATGTTCATTGTGGCATTCCTTCTTCTAGGGTGTGCGAGTTGCTAAAACAAATTTTTGGAGATTTGCGGAGCGTTTGGTTTCGAACCAGCATATCGAGCGAACCAATTTTTGGTGCCAATTCCAATTTCTACTCTCCTTAACTGTAAAATTTCTTCTAAGAAATTACTGATTTGATGACTAAGTTTCACGTCTGAAGCAACAGTAACGATGCTTCAGGTCGATTTATTCAGAGTGCCATCAAACAGATTTTATGGACATGTTATTTTGGAGCTCTACCCATGTCGTACTTTAGCTGTGATTGTTATTCAGTTATCTCTCTTGACTGCTTTTTGCGTTTAAACTTTGATTTAGGAAAGCGAAAAGTCTTATGGAATCTATTATCACAAAGGCAGGAGAAAGTTTGCCTCCTTCGCGTTCTGCTGTCCTTAACAGTGCCGCTGGACAAGGCCAGAATTTTTCTTCTGGCACTTCAACCGTTGTGTTAGGGCCATCTTTGGGCGCAAAAATGGTGACAGCAGAAATGCTAATTCCGGGATCGAAGTGTGGATTGGTAATTGGGAAAGGAGGAGAAACAATAAAAGGTATTCAGGAAAGAGCCGGTGTTAAAATGGTGATGATTCAAGAAAACAACCAAGTCTCTACGATTCCGAAACCTCTTCGGATTATCGGTGAATCGGAAAAAGTTGAAGTACGACTTAGATGTTTTGTTACAGATACAGGTGTTCTGTTTAGTATGCGAAAAGACTTGTCGAGGAGATCATGAACTCTAAAGATGATAAAGTGCCAATGTACAATGAATACGGTACTATGACGGGAAACAAAAGTATTGGCGAAGTAGGTGTTAATTGTTATCATATGTTTTGCACGTAAGTTCAATGAATTTTCTCTCAATTTCTGACTCAATAATGACGTATTCTCCTAGCTAGTTTTTTATAGTTGTTTTTTTGCGTATACTGTATTCTCCATTTGCTGTGGTAACTGTTTACGTTGGTTTTACTTATTATTTAACGCATTCTGGACGGAATGGGCCGATTCGGCGCCGATCGATAATCGCTATTAACGTGCAATGCGCTTGATTCTATATGATTTTGTCTGTTGTCATCTCCATCAACTGTAACGTCCAGCCCAGCAAGTTATATGTCTATTGTGAAGCTCTCCGTGAGCACAATGTTAAATTTCTGTAAAAGTGGTGAATTTCGAAGATTCTAAGATTTCATTCCTTATATCATTATATCTCCCAAAAGACAAAGCGTTT